GGTTTGTTCTGAAATGTAGTTGTTCCTGCAGAGCCAGGACAAATAAATACATTTTGTCAATTTTTACCAGCTCAGAAGATTACCTTTTGTCTGGTTTTCTCCTTTTTTAAAATATCATTGTGGTCGTGTGGGTTATTATCAATTCGTTGTGTTTTAGTCAGCATCATATATAATCCTCACAGTTTTGACAGTAGGAAAGGGGACTGTTCGGACCGATTCCCATGTTTCTTTGCTTGATACCATATATTTAAATTATGGAAATCCTTAAACATAAAAAATACATAAACAAATATAGTGAACCTCCAGTATACCTGTCAGTGAGACAACAATTTTCAGTACTTTCCAATTTTATTCTATCCCCACAGCTTTGTTGACCCCTAGATTGTGACTACATTGGTATTTGAAAGCTTCTTTGTTGTCTAGTGGGAAAGCTTTCCCAACCCTACACCTGGCAGCATCCATTTCTCTTAGAAGCCCTGATTGCCTTTATAAGGAAAGATATCAAATACTGGTCTTGACATAAGGGCTATGGAAAGTTTTGGTGGATGGGTTGTGTTGGTACTGGGTATTGAACCAGGGACCAGGGCCTTCACACTGAGCTATATATCCAGGCTTCTTTTCATTTTATTTTATTTTTTTTATTTATTTGTTTGTTTGTTTGTTTATTTATTTATTTATTTTGAGGCAAGGTTTCACTGTTTCCCAGGCTGGGCTCACTAGCATGCCTTTTTAAAAGTTTTTTAATTTGAATTTTCTTCACTTTCCCATCATGTGCCTCCTTATAAAAGTAGCCTGATAAACAGTTACTCTCAAGTAGTGGAGAAATTGTACTTCTCAAGGGTGGAACTAGAACATTTATATTTCTGTTTTAGCCAGGGATTTAGCTCAGTAGTTCTGCCACCTGCCTCACAAGTGTGAAGTCCTGAGTTTGATCCCCAGTACCCCCACAAAATACCAATCCTGTATATTTCTATTTTAATCAGTCAAAATGTTAGGCATAGCTTACTGATTATTCAAATGTTAATACATCAGTATTTTTGGTAAAGGATTTTTTAAAATATAATTTTGAAATACCAACTTGCCTCTATAAGGAAATCATTTGGTAAATATATGACCTATATTTTATACCACATTCTGGTTTTTTAGCATTTAACACATTTTTCTCATAGTAATAATGCAAATGATAAAATATATTGTAGATTGAATATTGCTAATCCAAAAGTCAAAAATCCTAAATGCCCGAAAATGTGAGTTTTTTTTAACATTAACATGATGCCACAAATGGAAACTTGACACCGTGAAACTGTGTCATGCACAGAAGCATTAAAAATATTGTGCACAGCTGGGCATGGTGGCTCATGCCTGTAATCCCAGCACTTGGGAGGCTGAGGCAGGAGGATCCCTATGAGTTCAAGACCAGCTTGGGCTACATAGTGAATTCCAGGTCAGTCTCAACTACCTAGTGAGACCCTGTCTCAAAAAAAAAAGAAAAAGAAAATAAAAATATTGTGTACAATTACTTTAAGCTTTGTGATATAGCTATATATGAAACATAAATTTTGTAGTTAGATTAGGTCCCATTCCCAAAATACCTCATTTGTACATGTGCAGATATCCCAAAATCTGAAGAAAACTAAGTGATTTAGATACCCAACCAGTATTGGTCTCTATATATGATTTTTTTTCTCTTTTTTTTGAAACAAGGTTTTCCTATGTTCAGAGTGACTTTGAACTCACTAGGTAGTCCAGCCTAGCCTCATACTCACAGTGATTCCCCTGCCTCAGCCTCCTGAGTGCTAGGATTACAACTATGCATCACCATGCCTGGACTATATATGGTTTTCAAGATGGACTGAACCCAAATTGCTTCCTTTCCCTCCTGATGCCCAGTGAAATGAAATGTATAGAAATGAGAAATGAAGAAAGCAGCAATAATAAATAGGAGGACCACCAAAGGATGGCAGTTAGACAGATTTCCAGACCTTTATTTGGGAGCCAGAAGGCCCAACTGTACCCTCTCTCACATCACCATACCTGTTTCTTTCATCCTTGAACTTGAACTACAGGTAGCTGGCCTGAATCCCAGATAAAACAGCAGGCAGGTTTTCTTTAGAAAAATTGAAAAAAGCTAAGACTTCTAAAGTGCCTGTTCTGTTCCCAGAACAAAAGAGAAAAAGCCATCTTCTTTCTGGCATTTAGACCCACTGCCTCCCCACCCACTCCTGGAGCACTGCCGTCAGCCTGTGCCAGCCTACACACAGCACGCTCTCTCCCTGTCATCCCCCCTGAGTGCACACCAGCCAGGAAATAGGAGATCCGAGTTGCCTGGTGAGTCACACTGCTTTGGAGATGAGTGAGCAGCCCAAAGATCACCAGGCATGTGAAGGGCTAATGGCAGGAACAGGAGACCAAATGCCCAGAAAAATAACATCACCACTGGGAAAGAAAACAGATGCTCGGAGAGAACTTTATTTTTAAAAAAGAACTCAGGGATACAAGATAATGCCACACCCATTAAACGAGTAGGAGGACACAGCTCTCAGCTTGAAAGAGCACACCATGTGCAGGAATGAGAAAATCCAACGTCATACCATGACACAGCCTCTCAAAACTGCAGATCTTTAGGATAAACAAGATTCAAAAGTCATGCACATACCATGCCAGACTGAGATGAAACCCTTAAGGCTTTAAGACAGTAAAGCTTGAGAAAAAATATACACACTTTGGGGAAAAAATATCCAACCAAAGAATCTGTGTCCTGCTGTGCTACTTAAGGGTGAGTGCAGAATAAAGTTGTTTTCAAACATCCAATGGCTCAGAGTTGACCCTCCCTTGGAATTAAAAGAAGTGAGTGAATTGCACTTCACCAGAAACTTTCTTAAGGAACAGAAATTGGGTATTTTGCCAAGCAAAATGGGCCACACCTGTAATATAAGCTGCTCAGAAGCCTAAGACAGGAGGATGGCAGGTTCAAGGCCAGCCTGGACAATTTAGACTTTGTCTCAAAATAAAAGATAAAAAGAGGCCAGGGGCTGGGGATTTAGCTCACTGGTTCCGCCATCTGCCTTGCAAGCGCAGGGACCCAAGTTCGATCCCCAGTACCAAAAAAAAAAGAGAGAGAGAGACCAGGTGTGGTGGCACACACCTGTAATCCCTGCACTCAGGAGTCTGAGGCAGGAGGATCACTGTGAGTTCGAGACCACCTGGAATACATAGTGAGTTCCAGGTCAGTCTCAACTACATAGTGAGACCCTGTCTCAAAAAACAAACAAAAAATAAAAAGAGGCTGAGGAGTGTAGCTCAGTGATAGAGCACTTGCCTAAGATGCATAAGGCCCAGAAGGAGGGAGAAATTCAGCACATAACCTTTCATAAATATTTTCATTTGAAGCTGGACTTGGTGGCGCATGCCTATAATCCTAGTTTTACAGAGGCGGAGCCAGGCGAATCACCAAGAGTTTGAGGCCAGCCTGGGCTGCATAGTGAGTACAAGGCCAGCCTGAACTACATAATCAAGACCGTGCCCCCCAAAATTTTATCATTTGAGGTTTGTGTTTTTATCTCATTACTGTCAAAATTGTTTATTTTAATCCTGTTTTGTTTTGTTTTGGTACCAGGGAATCGAACTCGGTCCTTGGGGTTGCAAGGCAGGCGGCAGAACCGCTGAGCTAAATCCCCACCCCAAAATTGTTTATTGTAGAAAGAATAAGAAGGGATTGCATACAATAAGTAGCTGTGGATTCATTCCAAACAGTAAATTATAGAGTGACTGTGACCAATAGCAACTGGTTGAAATCAGCCATACGTTGCCCGGGTAACTAACGTAATTTCTCATGTTTCCCGGTAACCCCCACATTGTGATCACAGCTGACTGACACACCCTGTGGCCAGCAAGGCCAGCAGATTCTCTCAACAGGACTGAAGTGACATCTGTAACTTATATTAAAAGTATTATTCTGATTGCCGTGTTGAGATTAGACTTGGAGGTGGAATAGTAGGGCAAGAGTAGAGGCAGAGAGCCCAGTGGGACCGTCACAGCAAGGTCCCAGGCGAATGACTGGCTCCAACATGGTGGTCACAGTGGAGAGGGCTCAGACTGCAGGTCTCAGCTGAGGTAGAGCAGACAAGGTTTCCTGACTGATCGTGTGGGCTGAGCAAGAGAGGAGTAAAGGTGTTTTGCTTGAGCAGTAGGAAGGGAGGAATGGGTTGAGGGAAAAGAGTAGGAGGGAACTTGTAGGTGTTTTTCAAGTATGTTTGGCCCCAGTGAAGATGTCAGTAACTTGGAGATACATATGTGTCTGCAATTCCGGAAAAGGTCTGGCCTGAGGATAGAAGAAGGACTGGTTGGAGTATAAACTATTTAACAAGACTGCTCAGAAGTGAATGATACAGACCCGAAGGATGGTGCCCTAAGGAGTACAGCAGTGTTTCGGGAGCAGGGAGATGGAAGAAAGGCTCCAGAAAGGGAGCAGCCTGTGTGTGGTGTGAGAACATGGTTCCCCAGAAACCAGGCGAAGAAAGGTTCAGCAACAGTTCATCACCGGTGTTGTGCTGCTGAGGACCCATAGTGTGACCACTAAATGTCACTTGGGTTTGGCAGCATGAGAGTCCATTTTTTCCTCGAAAATTCTCTGTGGCTTTTCCCAGGCAGCTATTCAGGCGTTGGGACATAAACCCTCAAGTTCCTTGGTCTTAACTACTTGAAAAGGAAACAGTGAGGCACTTCTTTTGGCTTACAGGGGCATTATGAAAAGTACTGGTGTACCGAGAGAGTACAGACTAAGAAAATGTGGACGTCTCTGCTTCAGAGGATTATGCGAACACATCTTTTCTTTGTTCATGCTGAAAGGTTAAGAGCCGCAGTGCTTTTAAATCTGATCAAATTACAAGCATTTAATAAAACTGAGCTAATATTAATATGGTTATTGAATAAAAATGAAAAAAGCCTTATGCAGTGTCAATAATACATCTTTGTATGAATTTTTCTTCTTGCCTCCATAGGTATGGTCTGAATATGCGTTGCTTGGCAGCCCGGGTCAACTACAAGACTTTGATTGTCATCTGTGCACTCTTCACTTTGGTCACAGTACTTTTGTGGAATAAGTGTTCCAGTGATAGAGCGATCCAGTTTCCACGACATTTGAATAGTGGCTTCAGAGTGGATGGATTAGATAAAAGAGCAGCAGCATCGGAGAGCAACCACTACGTAAACCATGGGGCCAGACAGCAGTTGGAGGAGGCCTTTCCCCAGGAGCAGCAGAAAGCGCCCCCTGTCGTCGGGGGTTTCAATAGCAATAGGGGAAGCAAGGTGTTAGGGCTCAAATACGAGGAAATTGACTGTCTCATAAATGATGAACACACAATTAAAGGGAGACGAGAGGGGAATGAAGTCTTTCTTCCATTCACATGGGTAGAGAAATACTTTGACGTTTATGGAAAGGTGGTTCAGTATGACGGCTACGAGCGGTTTGAATTCTCTCACAGCTATTCCAAAGTCTATGCACAGAGAGCCCCTTATCACCCCGATGGTGTGTTCATGTCCTTTGAAGGCTACAACGTGGAAGTCCGAGACAGAGTCAAGTGCATAAGTGGGGTTGAAGGTTAGTATCTGTCTGCTCTACTCGCATGTTTCTAGCCTTCTTGTGTCGAGGACTAAGAAGCTGTCACTGATTACATAACAGGCACACAGGTAGTGCCAAGAGACCTTTCAGGGCTCTGCCTCACCAAGAGGGAATAGGTAGGTCTGAGCCTAGCACAGCTTTATGGGTGGTGTGACTTAAGAGCCGCAGTAACACTGCGCTTGCATAAATACGATGATTCCATTACCCTGCCTCAGAATCTGTAGTTCTCATTACTGAGGGCAAGGCACAGCATGTCAGCAGGTCTTGCTTGTAAATGTAAAGTTGGCTGCGGCGGTTGGGATCAGAAACGTCTCCCTACAGCTCTTGTGCTTAAGGCTTGGTCCCCAATGCGATAGCATCCAGAGGTTGGGCCTTTTTGCGGTGAGGAGACCATGAGGCCTCCAGCCTCATCATGTAGTGGGCTTCAGGAGGCAAGGCCTGGCTGGCGGAAGTGGGTCATGGGGGTGTGCCCTTGAAGGGCATATTTTGTCCCTGGCCCCTTCTCATTCTCCTCTCTGCTTCCTGGCTGCCATGAGGTAAGCAGCTTGGCTTCGCCGCACCCTTCTGTCTCCACAGAAGTGGAGCCAGACAGCCTGCCACGGACTGAAACCTTTGAAACCATGAGCCGAAGTAGGTCTTTCTTCATTTAAGTTAATCTCCTCAGGCATTATATCACAGTGACAAAGAGCTAATACATTACCCTTCAAGAGGCAGTGGAAAAGGTAGAGAGACCACACTGGATGATTAACATCCCAGTGCTCTTGTTACCTGATAGACAGGTATCATCTCTGGGACAGGACTTCTAGTCCTCAGGACAAGGCAATATGTAGGCACTGTTTTTTTCTGAACTTGTACTAGCCTCCTGATGTCGATCCGTACTGTCTTTCACTGTCTTTGAAAACCTGAGGCATTTGGAGCTTCTTGTGGCTATATTAGTATACTTCAGAATTTGCTTTTCAAACATAGGATTAACCAGGAAAAAAAAATTAAATTTGCCTTTAAAATACATCATTTAAACCAGGGTAATTATTTCATTTTCCTTACTTTGCTATAAAGTGATTTAAGTTTCAATTTTCATTTTGCTACTAAGATTGATTTAATATTTTTTATAAAATCTGTCAAAATAAGCTTTCTATTTATTAAATATTTTCCCTTTGGAATAAAGTGCACCTTCCTGGGGATGTGCATATTTTCAGACTTCCCCCAGGTCCAATGCGTATGATCTGTGTCTGAAGTTAGTCGTGTTTAAGCATTGGAAAATTGAAGTCTGTACATTCTGATGCAGAGTCTCCCCTTTGTTTTTATTATTTATATAAGTTTTTAAACATTTACCAATTGTTTAGAAGAAGGAAGGGAACAAATTCACCTGTGCTGTATCGCACTTCCTCAAGATCATTATTACCCTTTCTGTAGATTCCTTGAAGGTTTTTATAGTTAGGTATATGCTTATCCTGCTTTTAATGATATTTCCTGCGCAAGGACTTGGGGCAGTGATACCTCACTTTACAAATTTAATTTGTCTTACAATTTTGGGGAAGATGACCACGTTGGTATTTGTGTCACCCGATGCAGAGTTTGCAAACAGAAACAATTTTGCTGAACCCTTTTTGTTGGCAAACCAAATTGCTTGCAAACAAGTGTTCATGAACTGAGGTTTACTATTGCTATAGTAGTTTGGTAGAGTCTTGAGCTGTCCCCGTGGCTGGACATCCTGGGTGGCAGCCTGGAGGAGCTACTGTGAAAGGGAGCAGTCACAGGGCAAGACAGAGCCAGGTACAGGGCCGGCTGGTCTTGCTTTTGTAACAAGCCTTTGAGAGAACCGACCCAGGTCCTGGGAGAGTTGCACTGACTCCTTCTGGGGAGAATCTCACCTCCCACACCGCCATGCTGGGGACCACATTTCAACACATGAGCCATCAGAGGACAGACTTAGAGGCTTACACTGTACTGGAGCCATGGCTGTCCCTAGTTCCTTGAAATTGCAGTAAACCACCTACAATTTTGTAGATCCCATTGTCCATTGTGCCTGTCAGATACTTGTTAATTCTTTGTAGAACTACAATAAGAGTTCATCTCTCAAAGCAGACAACATGATTCAATAGTCCACTACTCTGTGCAGTGTAGTGATATAAGTCCCAAGTAGGAAATTAGTAAAACACTAATACCAGGCACTGAAATTTTTGCTTTTCATCTTGAGATAATCCATTAATGGATTAAGAATCTATGGTCAAAAGCGCAAGGACTCGAGTTCAATCCCCAGTACCCCCCCAAAAAAAAGTCTATGGTCAAATGTAAAACTTTATTCAATTTTTTAAAAAACGCTCCTTATTTATAAGGGATTTTTTGTTTTGTTTTGGGTTTTTTTTTGTGATTCAGGGTCTCTCTACATAGTTCAGGCTGGCCTTAAATTCACTATGTGGCCCACGCTGGCCTTGAACCTATGGCAGTCCTTCTGCCTCAGCCTCCAGAGTGCTGGCATTACAGGTATTTGCCATCATATCCACCTAAGAATTATATTTTGATAAGAAAGATATAAAAAAGAATTTCAAACTTTATATTTTAGCTTGCCTGGATATAACTTATCTTAGGCATATATTTTAACTGTCAGATGCTGTACTTAATTATTAGATCATACCTTGACATTGGAGGGAGAGTCAGATAAGTAGTTAGGATGACTGTTAAGTACAAATGTTAAAGAAAAATTCAGGATTAATATTTAGAATAAAATGTGACATATGTGCTTCTGAACTGTACAAAATTTAAATCTGTGAAACAGGAATATGAAAGATGTATAATAGAAGTGCATAAAGAATCTATGAATAGTTTATAACATGGCGTTGCTATGAACAAATAATGAGAATGAGTGAATACCCAACATCTGCTTAATTTGGTACTAATTTCTAGCTCAGAAGTTGCTGATAACCCTAAAACCTAGCACTAAAGGACTTTATTCAGAAGAGGCTTGTAAAGTCTGAGTATGAGTATTTGTTTTGTTTCTGTTTTTATAGGTGTGCCATTATCGACACAATGGGGACCTCAAGGCTATTTCTACCCGATCCAGATTGCGCAGTATGGGTTAAGTCATTACAGCAAAAATCTAACTGAGAAACCCCCTCATATCGAGGTGTATGAAACAGCAGAAGACACGGACAAAAACAGCAAAACTAATGACTGGACCGTGCCCAAGGGCTGCTTTATGGCCAGTGTGGCTGACAAGTCTAGATTCACCAATGTTAAGCAGTTCATTGCCCCAGGTAAGTAATATACTGTATGTGACTGCTGATTTTATACTGATTTATGGCACTGCTACTCCCTTAAAATTTTAGTATATTTTTTGCGGGGGGCAGGTACCAGGTATTGAACTTGGGTCCTCGTGCTTCCCAGGCAGGTGGCAGAACCACTGAGCCAAATCCCCAGCCCATAAAATTTTAATACAGTTGTACAAAACATGTTAGCAGTGCTGGGGATTTAGCTTAGTGGTTCCAGTGCATGCCTTACAAGTGCAAGGGCCCGAGTTCAATTCCTGGTAACAACAACAACAAAAAAAAACATGTTAGCAGACCATTTATTTTATATTCATAATAAATGGTGTCACCCAAGTGAAATCCCTGAAGAAGAAGCAGCTAAAAGACCAAGGTTGTGGAAAAGGAGAAAAAAGGAGTCTTTATTTACTGTGTGAAGAGTCACTCTTTAGATTGAATGTTGTGATCCACATTACTGAGTAGGGATCAGTATCCCAGAAGAGTAAGTCCATGGTGTTTGTCTTGTTTTGTTTTGCAGTGCTGGGGGTCAAACTCATATACTAGGCACGTGTTCTACCATTGCAGCTGCCCCCCAGCTCGGTTTATTGTCGCATTTCAGCACAGTGTAGTCATACCTCAGTGCTCTGATGATTTGAAACTTGTCAGATTTGGAGATCAGAGGAGATCATGCACATTCAGGGTGGTATGGCCATAGACTCAAATTTGATACTATACATGTTTTGACAGAAATGTTGTCCCAGAACTTTTTTTTTTTTTTTTTGATACTCAACACGTGCAAGCTGGAACTGTCCTTGTCAATGGCCTCCTGACCCACTACCCTTTCCAGCCACAACCATTTCTTTGGTGCTTGTCATGCCTCTCAGAACCATAGTCAAGTCCCAAGGTACCACTGTAGTTTAATTTTTAAACTATTCTCTACTGAAGTAGAAAAATCTTTTATGGAGAGCTATACTTTTCTTCGCATAGCTTTCACCAAAAGCTTTTTATTTTTTCAAGAAAATGTAATATTACCAAATAGACCTGCTTCCATATTGAATTTTGCTAATGTACTAAATTACCTCAAACTTCATATAACACCATTTTCATTAATAAAATCATTTATAAAATCAAATTAACTTTATGCAACATTTCCCCTTTTACTAAGATGGTCTCATTAATTAGGATGTAATGTATTTTCTGTGCTGATCAATATCCATGAGAATTAATGAGTCCATTACTTAAAAAGACAGTGAAATCATCTTAGCACCTCAGGCTTAATTCTCTTTGGGAGAAATATTATCAAGATCAGAATTCATCCCCTCCTCTCCTCCAGCCCTACACTTGGTAAACAGAAAAGAAAAAAGGTTGCAAGACCTTTTCTGTATTCTCTCCTTGTCCTTATTGATGACTGTGTAACTTACAGACCTTGAAAGCCACAATACAAAGCTACTCATTCTAGATGGCCTTAAGTAATGGATTTATGAGTTTTTAATGCAGTGCAAATAACAGATGACCTTTAGTTTTTATTCTGTGACTAGCACTTCTTTTCCCCCCAAAGCATTCTGTGATATTCCAGTACATAGGGCCTCTTTGCTTATTGTAAAACAACAGGCTTGGCTGGTGAGAAATTACAAGAAAACGTTTAAGAATATTTGGCTTGTGATACCTAAGAGGTTATTGCAGCAGAAATTTGTCACACCAAGCCAAAGAAGTTTGAGTTTCAGATTTACACAAAGAACTTAGTTTATATTAGTTAATATGTGGTCTAGATTAAATAGGAGCCCTCATCCTGATCTGCACAAGCGGGAGAGGCTTCTTAGAAGAGCTTTTGGACACTGTCCTGTTCAGAGCAGTGGTTTTCATGGGAGACTCTTCGGTGCCCTGGGTTATACAGCAGATAGATAGACTCCCACATCCTATGTGAGATCCTCATGTTAGCCCTTCATTGAACTGCAGCCAGTAGCTGGAGAGAGAACTTCCTCAGATGATTTGAAGCCTGGAGAGCAGCGGCCAGTGGGCCGCGTCTAACCAAGATTGGATGCGTGTTGTAAGTGTGCGAGCTGGGAGAAGGCGTGTGGTTTGACCACCTGAGTGTGCTCACGTCACACGCTACGAGGCAGGAGGGGGGGTGGGTGGAGAGTCCCAGAGGTTTTCCTCAGTGAAGCTGAAGAGGGCAGGAAGAAGTGAGGCTGCTCTACTGAAGCAGCGTGAGAGCTGAGGCCTTCAGAAAGCATAGACTCACTGGAGATGGGTTCAGGTACCACCCTGAGTTTCTAAAGAAAGGAGGGCGTGTGCATGAAAGCATAGGCTTAGTGAGGTGAGACTCTGGAGACCCATGGCTGAATGCTGTTGCCCTTTCATTCTTTTATTTCTTTGTGTTGAGGTACTTTTCCTGAAACAAAAATCATCTAAAGAACCATTATTTGAGTCTGTAGGATATTTTTACTGTTTTGTTAAATAATGTTTTCGATTCCTGCTTGTAAGATTGAATGAATTGAAACATGATGCTAGTCTTACTCTGTTAAATTACATCAGCTTTCCTCTCCCAGAGCACTGTTTCCTTCCCGAGACCTTCTCTGTCTCACTACTGTTCTTTCGCAGGCTCCTTGTGAGCTTCTCTTCAGCCCACTACGTCTCTGTGCCCTCAAGGCTGAGTGCAGGCCTCCCTTCAGCAGGGTGGGCTGTCACTTCCGTGAGCGGGTGCTGACCGTGTGTGTCACAGGAGAAAACATGGATTGAAAGGCTTTTTTAGCGTTATTGAAATATCAACAAATACGATTTTACATACAATGAAGCACTTTTATATATTCATTTATTCATTAAGTTTATCGGTACATTTTAGGTATACAGTACAGTTACATTCATCATTGGGAATTTTTACCTGTACACAATCTATCTTGGTTCTTATTTTTCCCCCCATTCCCCTGCCCTCCCTTCAACCCCTCTACTTCTCCCTATTTACAAAGACTTTGTTTCCATTTTTTCCTTTCCCTTCTTTCTTTCCCCTTCCCCTGTGGACCTTTTTCTGTTTTACATTATCTTTACATTTTTATATTTTACATTATTTTTACATTTTACATTATACATTTTTGTCCTCATTTGCACATTGTTCCTCACACCAGAGAAACTTTGGTATTTACACCTGTGCGTCCTGTTTATTTCACGTAAGTGTATGGCCTCATTGTGCATTCATTTAGCTATAATGTTTCTAGTTTCTCATTCTTTGTGGCTGAGTAGTACTCCATTTTATATTTTTAAAAGCATCTTTAGGGCTGGGGATTTAGCTCAGCGGTTCAGTGGCCTGCCTCCTAAGCGCAAGGACCTGAGTTCAATACCCGGTACCAAAAAAAAAAAGCACATCTTTATTCAGTCACTAGTTGATGGGCAATTAGGCTATTTCCATGTTTTAGCTAATACAGACTGCTGCTATAAACATGGGTGTTCTTTTGGGAAGATACTCAGCAAGGGAGTAGCTGGGTCAAATGGGACCTCTAATCCTAGTTTTTTTAGGTATCTCCATACTGATTTCCACAGTGGTTGCCCCATTCTGCACTCCCACCAACAATGGAGAAGGGTTCCTATCTCCCCACAACCCCACCAGCATTTGTTATTGGTTGATTTCTTGATAGAAGCCATTTTTTGTGGGGGTGAGGTGGAATCTCAGTGCTGTTTTCATCTGCATCTCTTGGATGACCAGTGATGTGGAACATTTTTTCACATGTTTATTTGCTGTTTCTACTTTTGTCTGAGAAATGTGTGTTCATTTCATATGCCCATTTTTTAATTGGGTTTTTTAATTTGGGAGGTTTGATTTTTTTTTTTTTTAAGCTCCTTATACAGTCTAGATAGTAGACCTCTGACAAACAGCTGGTAAAAAAATTATTCCCCATATTGTGGGTTGTCTCTTCACTCTGTTGGTGATTTCTCTTGCTGTGCAGAAGCTTTTTGTTTATTTTTGTTTTTTGAGACAGGGTCTCACTGTGTAATTGAGACTGACCTTGAACTCACTATGTGGCCCAGGCTGGCAATCCACCTGCCTCAGCCTCCTGAGTGCTGGGATTACAGGCGTGTGCCACCAGGCCCAGCTTTAGCTTTTGTCTTTTGATGATGTCCTTTCAGATAAATGTGAGATGGAATTTCATTGTGGTTTTGATTTGCAGTACCTTGGTGGTTAGGAATGTCACATGCCTTTTGGCCTTTTGTATGTCTTCTCTGAAAAAATGTCTGTTCAAATCCTTTGCCTGTTGCTTAGATGACTTTTTTCCCATTGAGTTGTATGAGTTACAGGGTATATTCTGGATATTAACTCCTTGTTACATAAATGATTTACAAATATTTTCTCCCATTCTGTGTGTTATCCTTTCATCTGTTGATTACTTTTCTCTTCAGGAGCTTTGAACTTTGCTTTAGTTCCACTTACTTGTTTTTGCTTTTGCTACCTGTGCTTTTAGTGTCAAATTAAAACATCATTGACTAGACCAGTGTCAAGACTGCCTTTAAATTTTATCATCCTTTGTTGCCTAAGATATATACCACACTTACTGAGAATAAACAATTATAGTAACTCCTAGGAATGACTGCTCAGGAAGGGTTGAGGGTCATGAATTTCAAACAGTAGAAAAATGAAAATTCTGTATTAGTAGATTTGAAGCAGGGGTCCCCAGTGAGCATCATGTTTCCAGAGAGCTCAGAGCCTTGCTGGGTGTGTTTCCAGGCTGTTGTCAGCCATCCCATTTGCTCCTCCTCGTATCCTCCTGAATAATGGTGGCAGTTCATTGAAACTCATACATACATCTGTAAATTAAGAATTAAACATTGGTATGAAGACTACAACTCTTGATTGCTCAATTTAAATTGACTTCTGGCCGGGCGTGGTGGCACACACTTGTGATCCCAGCACTGGGGAGGCTGAGGCAGGAGGATCACTGAGTTTGAGACCAGCGTGGGCTACACAGTGAGTTCCAGGTCAGTCTCAACTACATAGTGAGACCCTGTGTCAAAAAACAAAAACAACAACAAAAATAAATAAATTAACTTCTGTCATTACTGCTGTAGGACTCAGTAACCCCCTCTGCTGGTGTTAAGGTTGTAGGAAAATTAAGTGGTTTTTGTTTAGTTTAGTTTTATTTTTAAGGTTATTGCCCAGGACACCATTTGTTGCTAAATTCTTTGGACTGATCTGATATATGAATGCATAATAATATGATTGATTGACCTATGCCGTTTCATTAAATTTTTATAAATAAAGTGAGAATTAGGACAGAACTCTGGGAGGAAATGGGTTCTTCTCCAACATCATCTCATTTGGACTTTTTAAGATGGGTCATCGTTAACCAGTTTGGCCAGAATAGATGTCGTCCTTATTGATGCTCTCTGATGGATGAGGCATTACCTTAATAATGAAGACTCAAGGCAGTGTGCTGTGCTGCATAGAACTTCATCTGGTGTGATTCATAAGTCACTGCAGAGTCCCGTAGCGTTTCAGGGACTCTGTATTGAGCTTCAGACTCCATTTCACTGTAGAAGCAGGAAAATGCCAGTTAAGAGAGAATACATTCTAACATTTTACCAGATAAAGTGAATTGGTACTGAATTAAAAGTTTACTTCTGAAGTTGATTTTTTAAAAGTCACCAAAGCAGGGGCCAGGGATTTAGCTCAGTGGTGCCGACCACTGCCATGTGAGTGCAAGATCCTGAGTTCGATTCTGGTACCACAGAAAAAGAAAAAAATGTCTCTCGAAGCATTATTGAGTGCATCAGAATATTCACATTCTTGAGGCAGCTTTCATAACTCTTTCAAGTGAAGAGATTCTAATTAGAGCCTTGGGCCACAGGGATCCAGTGTTGTAAGAGTTAAATGGTCAGCCAGGGCACTGGCGCTCTGTGTGCTGTGTGCACAGTGTCACACGGTCCTGGTGACGCGCTGAAGACTTGCCCAAAGTCTGTCCAAACCCGAGGTCTGATTTTTAACAGCAGGGCCTAAGAAATCACTTTTTCATTGATTGATGTTAAGGGTGCCACTCCCAGTATCATTTGTCTTTCCCATAGGCTTTAGATTCAGGAAACTTGGATTTTAGACCCTGCTGTACCACTCATCAGCTTTGGCCTTGGAAAACCATTTAACCTTGCAACACTTGCATATCTGATATGTAAAGTGCTTAGAATAATTTGAACTTTATCAGCCTCGGATTTTATGGCTCAAATGAGCTCATCTATGTTTTTGAAATTTTAAGCTGTATAAAGATTGATATTCATACTTCTCTTTACTATTTCAGGTTTATGTTATATATTCTGTTATTGTTCTTGCTGCAGTTTGGTTTTTCGCTGTTGTTTTGTTTGGGGTTTTTTTGGTACCAGGGTTTGAACTCGGCAGGCGCGGTCCCCTGCCCACCTGTCTGGTTTTAGTATGTTCCATTTCTTTTCTCAGTAGCTGTAGATGAGTAAGCTTCAGAAAATCAGGCTTCTGAGAGTTAGCCATCATTATACTATGTAGCTGTGCAAGGAAAATGTCCTGTCTAATAACTTGTCAGGTAAAACGGTCTTTGCTATTTTATTAGCATGAGATTATTAGTGATAATAATCACTGTCGTTAATTACTGTGTTTCAAGCAATTGTCTTTTTCTAAATTCTCACAATTGCCCTACAGAGAAATATCATCTCTCATATGTGAAGGAACTGAGACTCAAAAGAAGAGTATGTTCCATTCTCAGAACTAGTAATAGAGTAGGAAACCAAGTCTAAAGCTTTGCACCCATAGCCTGTGCTCCCTCTTCCCTCCTTACTTCTCATCATGTACATGAGCCCCAGCAATTCTTTCATAATTCCAGAGAATAGCAAGAACACCCTTGTTTTCAGCGTCAGATTAAGAACATGTATTGTGGGGCCAGACACAGCAGCCTGGTTCAACTCCTTGTACCTTGGGCAGGGCACTTCTGTGTGTCTTCGTCCTCGTCCTCAGGGTGGCAGTGGCACCAGTGACCCTGGTGGTGAAGATCATTTGGTGGAGTTAGTGTGTGTAGAGCACTTGGAACATGTTACGAGCACATATTAAATATTAATTAGATTATAAAGTGAGAATCCATATGTAGCTTTTCATTCTAAAACTTCTAGCCTCTCGTTTACAATACGTGCTGAGCCAGCTTTTGGCTTTTTTTCTCTTCTTTTTGCAGAATGGATATGATCAAATAGTCATTGATTATTGATCAGCTGGCGTTAGATCTAGAAAAAAACGTTTGATGGTTGATACCCGAGTTATTTGCTCTGAATCCTTTAGTGTAAACCAGCAGGGCAGAAGAGCTTTATTCCGTGCATCGTGATGTTCTTGAGGCGGTGGCAAGAATTTTCAGTCATGCTCAGAAACTCTCATGAACTCACCATTTCTATCATTTGTTTATGAATAATTTATTAAAAATAAAAATAATTTGATATACAAAGTAAGCAGTTAGAGAAAGTATATAATTTGCCAGTGTTATGATTTTGTATAGTCAGTGTTGTCGAAGACAAATTGCAATTATGTTTAATGCAAAAGTGCTTTGATTCTAACAACCGTTTGTTGATGCATTCCCCTCCACAGAAGCCAGCGAAGGTGTGTCCTTGCAACTGGGAAACACAAAAGATTTTATTATTTCCTTTGACCTCAAGTTCTTGACAAATGGGAGTGTGTCTGTGGTTCTAGAGACCACGGAAAAGAATCAGCTCTTCACTGTACATTATGTCTCAAACGCACAGCTCATTGCTTTTAAAGAGAGAGACGTGTACTATGGCATCGGGCCCAGAACTTCATGGAGCACAGTGACCAGGGACCTGGTCACTGACCTCAGGAAAGGAGTGGGTCTTTCCAACACAAAAGCTGTCAAGCCAACCAAAATAATGCCCAAAAAGGTGGTGAGGTTGATTGCAAAGGGGAAGGGATTCCTCGACAACATCACCATCTCTACCACAGCCCACATGGCTGCATTCTTCGCTGCTAGTGACTGGCTGGTGAGGAACCAGGATGACAGAGGGGGCTGGCCCATTATGGTGACCCGCAAGTTAGGGGAAGGCTTTAAGTCTTTAGGGCCGGGGTGGTACTCTGCCATGGCCCAAGGGCAAGCCATATCTGCACTGGTCAGGGCCTATCTCTTAACAAAAGACCACACGTTCCTCAGTTCAGCTCTACGGGCAACAGCCCCTTACAAGCTCCTGTCTGAGCAACATGGAGTCAAAGCTGTGTTTATGAATAAACACGATTGGTATGAAGAATACCCAACCACTCCCAGCTCCTTCGTTTTAAATGGCTTTATGTATTCCTTAATTGGGCTGTATGACTTAAAGGAAACCGCAGGGGAAAAGCTTGGCAAAGAAGCGAGGTCCTTGTACGAGCGTGGCATGGAGTCCCTCAAAGCCATGCTGCCTTTGTACGATACTGGCTCAGGAACCATCTACGACCTCCGACACTTCATGCTGGGTATCGCGCCCAACCTGGCCCGCTGGGACTACCACACCACCCACATCAACCAGCTGCAGCTGCTCAGTACCATCGACGAGTCCCCCATCTTCAAAGAATTTGTCAAGAGGTGGAAGAGCTACCTTAAAGGCAGCAGGGCAAAGCACAACTAGAGCTCACAACCAAAACCACGTTCAGCTCCTTGGAGCGAACCGTGGGCTCCATCTCAACGGAGCACAGGCACATTTTAAAAGGTTGTGTACTGGGCTTGGTGGTGATAGCGAAGTGATAAGTGACCCTTACAGACACTCTCCTGAAATGCTTGTGTTCTGTGGCTGGGTGTTCAGGGGCACAGGTGTGTTTAGAACAGAGTTTAGTCTGGGCTGAACCAGGCGCTAGTCTTCACCTTCTCTTCCCCTTGTGGGTCCCACCTGCTGTCCAGTCACTGAGATCAGATGGAGAGGCGAAAGGTAAGTAGCTCTCCCTGGCTGGCGCTTACCTGAAAACTTAGTATGGAGCGCTTTTAAAATGTGACTATTTATATTTATATTGAAAGCAGACTTTAAAACAATGATGTGCTGTAATACAGTAAATACGTACTTGTAGCCTGGATAGAAGACTGTACAACTATGAAAACAAGTATTTCTTTCCTGTAGAGCGAGTGAGCATTGGTTCAATTTGTTATATACAGAGAATATTTTGAATTGTGGGCTTTTTTGTTTTTGTTTTTTTGAAACGTGTAAATTAAAACACAGTGTTCAGGCTTCACCATTCTATAAACGTAAGCACAACTTAAAATGAAACTTGTTGACTGCACAAGAAATTACAAAAATGTTAATGTTTTGTGAAACTTGATCTATAATCAGTGAAAGTTTGATAATCAATTTGTCGCTTCATCAGTGCCCAAAGTGATGATTTCACTATTGAGGATTTTGTATTTAATTTCAGACTATGTGTTAAGAGTTTTATCCATCTTAGGGGGGATGTTTTTGAGGACGTTATGTGGAATGTTTATTACCGTCCTGATTTGGGGAAGGAAGGAGTAATTTTAAGCCCATCTTTACAGGACTTTTCCCCCTTTAAGGAACAATACTGGATTAAATATCACATACGTGAGTCATAGGTTTTTCCTGCCTAGCTTATTCTTGGCTATCACTTTTCAAATTGTTGGTTCTGTTGTTCTTCTTTGAAATTCAATTTTAATTTTTTCCAGCTATTAAATAAAAGATGCTACTTAGTTTGCTGCCCATTTATAATCAGATCTTTGTTGAGGTTATGGGTCCTACTGAACCTCACGTACCTAGGTTTCATAGGCCTTACCCATGGCAGTGTCTGCTATCGGGACTCAGGCATTAAGTTGAGGCCAGCGAGGGCCAGATTTGCTCTGGTCTTTGTTTTAGAGTCTAATAGGCCCTTGAACTGATCCTGTCAGGTACAGTTTGGAAATAGGAGAACCCCACATTTTCAAGGGACCGAAACACAACACAGTGTGACCTCAGATGTACCTGTAAGGACCAGGCGGGTTACCTGCCACACACTACATCTTAATTGAATCAGCCTACCAAGCACTACTCAGAAACTAGAAAATACCTGCATACAGATGTATGTGGTATATATGTTAGACATATTTATAGTATCCAGAGGGGCAGGATGAAGAAGAGACAGCCCTACACTGAAGACAATAAATGTTAAGCTGGCCATAGAAAAGTAAGCCTAACTCCCAGTTTATGTGATGACTCTTAATTCTGCCTGTAACACAAGCAGCTGTGGGTTATTAGGTTTCGCGTAAATTGCAATTATGTTTAATGCAAAAGTGCTTTGATTCTAACAACCGTTTGTTGATGCATTCCCCTCCACAGAAGCCAGCGAAGGTGTGTCCTTGCAACTGGGAAACACAAAAGATTTTATTATTTCCTTTGACCTCAAGTTCTTGACAAATGGGAGTGTGTCTGTGGTTCTAGAGACCACGGAAAAGAATCAGCTCTTCACTGTACATTATGTCTCAAACGCACAGCTCATTGCTTTTAAAGAGAGAGACGTGTACTATGGCATCGGGCCCAGAACTTCATGGAGCACAGTGACCAGGGACCTGGTCACTGACCTCAGGAAAGGAGTGGGTCTTTCCAACACAAAAGCTGTCAAGCCAACCAAAATAATGCCCAAAAAGGTGGTGAGGTTGATTGCAAAGGGGAAGGGATTCCTCGACAACATCACCATCTCTACCACAGCCCACATGGCTGCATTCTTCGCTGCTAGTGACTGGCTGGTGAGGAACCAGGATGACAGAGGGGGCTGGCCCATTATGGTGACCCGCAAGTTAGGGGAAGGCTTTAAGTCTTTAGGGCCGGGGTGGTACTCTGCCATGGCCCAAGGGCAAGCCATATCTGCACTGGTCAGGGCCTATCTCTTAACAAAAGACCACACGTTCCTCAGTTCAGCTCTACGGGCAACAGCCCCTTACAAGCTCCTGTCTGAGCAACATGGAGTCAAAGCTGTGTTTATGAATAAACACGATTGGTATGAAGAATACCCAACCACTCCCAGCTCCTTCGTTTTAAATGGCTTTATGTATTCCTTAATTGGGCTGTATGACTTAAAGGAAACCGCAGGGGAAAAGCTTGGCAAAGAAGCGAGGTCCTTGTACGAGCGTGGCATGGAGTCCCTCAAAGCCATGCTGCCTTTGTACGATACTGGCTCAGGAACCATCTACGACCTCCGACACTTCATGCTGGGTATCGCGCCCAACCTGGCCCGCTGGGACTACCACACCACCCACATCAACCAGCTGCAGCTGCTCAGTACCATCGACGAGTCCCCCATCTTCAAAGAATTTGTCAAGAGGTGGAAGAGCTACCTTAAAGGCAGCAGGGCAAAGCACAACTAGAGCTCACAACCAAAACCACGTTCAGCTCCTTGGAGTGAACCGTGGGCTCCATCTCAACGGAGCACAGGCACATTTTAAAAGGTTGTGTACTGGGCTTGGTGGTGATAGCGAAGTGATAAGTGACCCTTACAGACACTCTCCTGAAATGCTTGTGTTCTGTGGCTGGGTGTTCAGGGGCACAGGTGTGTTTAGAACAGAGTTTAGTCTGGGCTGAACCAGGCGCTAGTCTTCACCTTCTCTTCCCCTTGTGGGTCCCACCTGCTGTCCAGTCACTGAGATCAGATGGAGAGGCGAAAGGTAAGTAGCTCTCCCTGGCTGGCGCTTACCTGAAAACTTAGTATGGAGCGCTTTTAAAATGTGACTATTTATATTTATATTGAAAGCAGACTTTAAAACAATGATGTGCTGTAATACAGTAAATACGTACTTGTAGCCTGGATAGAAGACTGTACAACTATGAAAACAAGTATTTCTTTCCTGTAGAGCGAGTGAGCATTGGTTCAATTTGTTATATACAGAGAATATTTTGAATTGTGGGCTTTTTTGTTTTTGTTTTTTTGAAACGTGTAAATTAAAACACAGTGTTCAGGCTTCACCATTCTATAAACGTAAGCACAACTTAAAATGAAACTTGTTGACTGCACAAGAAATTACAAAAATGTTAATGTTTTGTGAAACTTGATCTATAATCAGTGAAAGTTTGATAATCAATTTGTCGCTTCATCAGTGCCCAAAGTGATGATTTCACTATTGAGGATTTTGTATTTAATTTCAGACTATGTGTTAAGAGTTTTATCCATCTTAGGGGGGATGTTTTTGAGGACGTTATGTGGAATGTTTATTACCGTCCTGATTTGGGGAAGGAGTAATTTTAAGCCCATCTTTACAGGACTTTTCCCCCTTTAAGGAACAATACTGGATTAAATATCACATACGTGAGTCATAGGTTTTTCCTGCCTAGCTTATTCTTGGCTATCACTTTTCAAATTGTTGGTTCTGTTGTTCTTCTTTGAAATTCAATTTTAATTTTTTCCAGCTATTAAATAAAAGATGCTACTTAGTTTGCTGCCCATTTATAATCAGATCTTTGTTGAGGTTATGGGTCCTACTGAACCTCACGTACCTAGGTTTCATAGGCCTTACCCATGGCAGTGTCTGCTATCGGGACTCAGGCATTAAGTTGAGGCCAGCGAGGGCCAGATTTGCTCTGGTCTTTGTTTTAGAGTCTAATAGGCCCTTGAACTGATCCTGTCAGGTACAGTTTGGAAATAGGAGAACCCCACATTTTCAAGGGACCGAAACACAACACAGTGTGACCTCAGATGTACCTGTAAGGACCAGGCGGGTTACCTGCCACACACTACATCTTAATTGAATCAGCCTACCAAGCACTACTCAGAAACTAGAAAATACCTGCATACAGATGTATGTGGTATATATGTTAGACATATTTATAGTATCCAGAGGGGCAGGATGAAGAAGAGACAGCCCTACACTGAAGACAATAAATGTTAAGCTGGCCATAGAAAAGTAAGCCTAACTCCGAGTTTATGTGATGACTCTTAATTCTGCCTGTAACACAAGCAGCTGTGGGTTAGTAGGTTTCGCCTAGCCTTTGAGCTTCGTAGTTCTTACACAGCAGATGTCTCAGCATTTGAATGTCCACATTTTATTGTCTGAACAAGAAAAATGAGGACTCCCTGACTTTTATTTTCAGTATCGATGTTAAACTCTCCAATCCTGGAGCCTTTTATACGTCACATGTGTCACTGCTTAGAACGGTGCAGACTTGTGCTCTGTGTTTGTGCGCTGGTCTTCATATGAGGGGAATCAGTAGGGACAGCGTGGTCCTGCTCCTGGGACAGGTTCCAGTGCCTTAACAGTGTGGCTGTCCTTTTCCACCGAACAGGGAAAGACTCGACCAGAAACGGCGTTGCTGTTGGCTTCACACTGCCTTCCACATCGCAACAGCAACTCGGTTTGTCCAGTGCCTTAACAGTGTGGCTGTCCTTTTCCACCGAACAGGGAAAGACTCGACCAGAAACGGCATTGCTGTTGGTTTCACACTGCCTTCCACATCGCAACAGCAACTCGGTTTGTCTTTTGAGCCCACGATTTTCGGAGGGGATGAGTTGAACCCATAGCTACATTATCAGTACAGAGCAGGGCTTGTCAAGATGCAGGACACCTCAGAGTCACCTGCGGGCTTGTTGGGTGTAGCTCCCAGGCCCCAGCGAGTCTGCCTGCTGCTTCTCTAATTATTTGGGCTTATTTGAGCCCAGCAAGCAGGAGAACCTGCGTTGTACCAGCACGCGGGTGACTTCCCTGGGCGGCTAAACCCTGCCGGGGACCCTGCCCACCTCATGTTGGCCTCTAGACAGCGACAGCCTTTCCTGGGGTTTCAAATCCTGTAAAACGTTTACTTATTCTGAGTTTAGAGAATAAGGAGGGGATTTTAAAGTTGTGTTTCCTTCCATGTTTTTTTAAGACGTAGGTATTGAGGGTTTGTTTGTTTTAACCCCGCTTCAGTAAGCTTTAATATTAAATCTGTAGCCACTTCAGTTGCAAAACCGGCCAAAAGCTTCCAGATGAAGGTCAAGTTGATCCTTCAGGAGCCACTGTACATAAACGCTTCTTCGTCAAGAGTCCCCAGCGTACGGAGCCACTGCAGAACCGACCCAAGCACAGCGCCCGGACCTCTTTGCCGTATGCACACTTTCACTGAAAGCTGCTATTTCCATCCTCCTGTAGTTTTTTCTTGTTCCTCCTCCACTGTACATGTGGGTTCTATCCATGTGTTAAATATGCAATAAAGTGTTTACCGGATGCCCTTCTGAAGGGCAGTCCTTTGTAAAGCTGTACAGACTTTGCAGGTTAAGCACAATGTGCACTTGTTAGTTTTCTACACAGCAAAACTTGATTTTTTGCAGATGGAAAGGTATTTTGTTTCTATACAAAGTAAATGGATTGTTTGTGCTTAATGTAAAGCTGCTTTATAAAATTGTACAATAAAGTTTTTATCTGAAAAGGAATTTGCCTGCGTGTTTCTTTAATTATCCTGAGGTTATTTGAGCCCAGCAGGCAGATTTCTAACCATCAATTCTGGTTCAACTTGTGATTGCTACTCAGGCAACTAATGGTGTTCGGCGAAGGTGTGAGGGACGTGAGGAGTGACGGTGTCATTCTGCTGGGGTGGTGTCGTGGAAGAGACACCTAAACTGGGGCTCCAGGGAGGGAAGGAACAGCAACTCCGGTGTAGATTTCCTTGAGGGTTTGCACCTCCCGGGTTCTCTGTAACCTGCTCCTTACAGTGATGGGTGTTATTCCCATTTCTCCCTTTCAGAGGACCCATCGGGGTTCCCACTCTGTTCCCCTGCACCTTATCATGTGGCCCTCACACATTCCCTTCCATTCCTGTGGCGGAATCCAGTGGATCACTGGACCTCCTAGCTGATACTGTATGGATTTTAGCAGGCACTGGGCAGCCCTCTGGGCGGCTGGTCTCCACCTCCTTGGTTGGGAAACAGCCGTAAGGGGGCAGCAGTCGGGCTCGCCAGCTACTCCTGCTTTGATTTTGCAGTTTGAGTCAGGCTCCTGTTGCACTGGCCAGTCCCTTGAGCACCCTGACGTCTCGGGCTTGTCTCCCCGTTGCCCTGGGCAGGAGGCGCGCCCTCCAGGCTGAGCTCCTTGTCTCTGTCACAGAGAGAATTGCTAGTTCGTAATAGAAGAGTGTTGTTTAAACTCTGGTCTTGGAGTCCACTGCTGTAGTTTTGCTAGGGCTGCTGTAACAAGGAACCATAGAGCAGTGTAGCCTGAGCCACAAGACTGTTTCACACAATTCTGCAGGCCAAAAGTCAAACCAAGGGATCCAAGGGGTTGGTTTCTCCCGAAGCCACTTCTGTGACTTGCAGGGGCGGCCTCGCTGTGTCCCACAAGGTTACCCTCTCCTGACGACTGAGTCCTTACCCTTCCCAGCAAGACACGGGACGCACTGGATTCCACTTTTTTCCTGTGACCTCATTCTACCTGAGTCACCTCTTTAAAGGCCCTTCCCAAGTACACTCAAGTCTGAAGTCACAGGATTAGGATCTGAACATGCAAGGAGAGAGTCACAGTTCACCCCGTAACAGCTGCTCTTCAAACTGGACCAGCCGGGGTTGCCATTTAACTTGATGATTACTGGCAAAGGCCAAATCTCAAGAGATCTTGGGAGAACATTAATTGGGCAGAAATCTATAATTTGGCCCTGGAATATCAAAAATGTATTCTTTTACCTCATGAGCTTTAATCCCATAGAGACAGCTGACTATGGTAGCACATCTATAATCCCACCATTCATGAGGCTGAGGCAGGAGGATCACCTCGAGTTTGAGACCAGCCTGGATAACAGTGATTTTTAGCCCAGCCTAAAGTACATATCGAGACCTTGTCTCAAAAAAAAAAAAAAAAAATCTAAGAACTCACTGATCTTAAGATCTTTGTGTAGACAAATGCAAGGTAACATTAAATTTAAATGGTGATGTTAACACATCAAACAAACTGCTAGATTTTTATTCTCACCCATTAGCCCATTCTGAATATAGAAGCAAAAGAAAAAAAAAGCATAGATCAAGTATATGAAAAATACATGAAAATTGCTCATTGTGTTGGGTGTGGTGGCACACATCTGTAATCCCAGCACTCTGGGAGGCTGAGACGGGGGTTGCAATTTTGAGTCTAACCTTGATAATTTAGTGACTTAGCAAAACCCTATCTCAAAAGTAAAAACTAGCCGGGCGTGGTGGTGCATGCCTGCAATCCCAGCACTAGGGAGGCTGAGGCAGGAGGATCGCTGTTGAGTTCAAGACAAGCCTAGGCTACATAGTGAGTTCCGGGTCAGTCTCAACTACATAGTAAGACCCTGTTTCAAAAAAAACAAAAAAAAAAAAACTAAAGAAAGGTTTGGGGATATAGCTCAGTGCAAAATCCTTGAATCCAAATCTTCAATACCACACACACAAAAAGAAAAAAAAACAATTGCAACTTGTGAGATTTGTGTTTAATTTGTGTTTAATGACAATTTTTTTCAATCCCAGGTCTGC